GGCTCACCTCCACTGCCCTGGGAGCAGTGGAATGGTGGCCGGGGAGCCTCCTCCAGGGCACTGGGATTGGCTCACCTCCTCTGCCCTGGGAGCGGTGGAATGGTGGCCAGAGGATCCTTTTTTTATTTGGCAGGCAGCAGCACTACTGAGCTAAATTCCTAGCCCTAAAATGATACTTTTAATTTCTAGAAGAAAGTATATTTCAAGTACTCTCATTATTGTTTGACCACCCTTACTATGTTAAATATTATTTCTAACTAATTATAGCTACATGAAATTATACAAATCTGAAATTTACTCTATTACCACCTAATTAAAACTCAATAGTTTAGATCCTACAGATCTAAACCTCATTTTATATAGGTGAAACATTTAAACTGATCTACTCTTACAAACATAAAGCTACATATTTGACTTTTGTGGAAGTTGGTGTGGTAAATGTGATAAATGTGCCAAAACCTGTGCTTTTTTAGCTCCTTGGTGATGTAAGCAGCACAGATATAGTCAGGGTCATGGCTTTATGCCAGTTACTTTGCTTTGTTTTTGGTCCATATGCTGCACATACTTTCGTGAGGGTGATTGAATGAGAAAATTTAGAAAATCAGTATAAATAAGCAGTTAATATATTTGTTAGGAGCATGGGTTCCGGAATTGGTAAGATCTGAATTTGCTTCCTGTGCTCTGTGCTTCAATCTTATCTGTGTAATAGAGATAGAGAGCCTAACAGTGGATAAACCTTGGCTTCACTAAAATGTGGTTATGGAATATGGAGTCAGGCAAGACTTCCTCCATTGATTTATTGTTCCTTATCTTCAGAATTGTCATGACTTTTCTTTTTTTTTTTTTTGTCCTGTTTAATGTATTTGACCAAATATATTTTAAAATTACTTTCTGGATTTTTGTGTTTTGAGACTGAGCTTTGCTGTATTGCCTGGGCTGGCCTGGAGCTCTTGAATCCTGGACTCAAGGGATCTTCCTATCTCAGCCTCCTACGTAGGTAGCTGAGACTACAGGCACGTGCCACCATGCCCAGTTCTTTTAAAATTAATTTTAAGTTCCATTAAACATCATTTTGGGATTTTTTTAATGGAAGCTAATCTAATTTTGGTTGGCTTAATTTGGAAATGATTGATATCTTTATAATACTGTGTCTTCTTGAAGTCATATAAGGTTTTGTGAAAGATTAAGTGATATGATACTTGTAAAAACTTAATCTAGTATCTAGAATTCAGTGACTACTCAATAACTTATAGGTTATCATCATCATTATCTATTACCAATACTGGAATACCTTCAGATTCTCTTATGATGAATAGTCAAAGCTTTATGTAGTCAGGAAGGGGAAAAAAACCCCAATGTATTTCATTTTAAAATGAAAGTTGGCTGGGGATTTAGCTCAGTGGTTTCATCACCTGCTGCGCAAGTGTGAGGACCCGAGTTTGATCCCCAGTACAAAAAAAAAGTTCATAAAATGTAAGTTAACAATATTATAATTATCAGGCAGTGTTAAATAATTTTAATGTTTCATTCTTAAATTATATATTAATTTGCAACTCATAATACAGAAAAAGGCTAATCACCCTAAAGACTTTTTAGAATGAGAAAAGTCAAATAATATATTTTATAAATCAACAAAGAACATGACCAGAGAGTACACACATACACACACACAAAATACAAATTGTCCATACATGTAAAAAAGATGGTCATCCTCACTGATAATAAAAATTCACTGAAGTACTGACAAAACTCTTAAAGTTAGATAACACCCTTGTTTGGTGAACCGTGGTGGGGAATAGGCATTCTCATATCCTCTAGTGGTGGTATTGTAATGGCAGACTTACAGTCTACAGTGTGGCAGCTCTTAGTGGTATTGCAAGATCAGGCAAGAAGAATCAAGAATGCACCTGGAGGTTGGAGGCAAATTTATTACATCGGCAGACTGATCGGGGATTTCTCCACAAAGCAATCAGCCCGGAGCTGGCGGTGAACAGGGTTTATATGGGTTAAGGGAAGAGGGGTGGGGATGCCTGAAGCAAGGCATTTATCTTCAGTTCAAGGTTGAGGAAGTTACATTAGTTTACATGATTTGATAGAAAAGTACCTGGATACAGCCTCTTCCTGAGAACAAAGGACAGTGAAGGAAGACAGGTGTTAGGTGTGGGAGGGGGGATGAACTGGGTGGGGGTGGCTCTTTGTCAGTTAGGTCAGCACCTCGCAGGAAAAACCTTTTTTGCTCAGAAATTGTTTTCTGGCTCAGTATAAAGTAGTACAGTCCTGTAGAGAGAAATTTGGCAGTATTTATTCAAATTAAAACATAGCCCTTTAATCAAGCAGTCCCACTTGCGGAAATGTATTCCCCTGATAAATCTATATACATGTAAAATGACTTCAGAGCAGAGCATTTGATAACTGAGGAATGGTAGTAGGCAGAAAGAACACAGTAGGAGACTTAATTTTTACCATCGTCATGTTTTTACCTTGTAAATTGTGAACTGTGTAATGATGCCCTGTTCAACAAACTCATACTAAAATGTTCACTTTTTCCTTCCCTAGTACTTCCCATCGCCCTGTCATGTTTCTGTCTCCTCGTCCCACCCTCACTTTTTCTTATCCCTCCATTACTTTCTACCTGCTGCTCCTTTGTGCTAAAAGGCTGGGTTTTGATGTCTTGTCAGTTAAAAATGCCTTTTTTCCTGTCACATGGCCAGTGCATCAGGTTTGTAGCTGGCTCTGCTCTTCGGCTGTATCTCCTTAATCTTCCTGTCTGTGTTGAGAGGGTGCCTTACTCTGTGGGGCCCACTGCAGAGGTCCAGTGCTTCCTGCGTGCCATTTGTACCCTATCAGCTAGATACTTAAGAACCAGGGCACTCAAAGCTCCTTTTTTGATTTTGCCCCTCCTTTTAATTTCTGTATAGCATATGAATGAGCTCATGTTATTGTTTCAAATTGCCTTTACTTGGGTGATCATAAACACCATTTGTCTTGTTTTGCTATTCTTTGTTTTAGGCAAGAATATGTACTCCAGTTGCTACCCCCCAGCCTACTCCTCCTCACTCACCTGCATCACCTCCTAAGGAGTATGTGTTAGTGAAGACTCCTGATTCTTCTCCCTGTGGTTCATATCATGATGTTGCTTTTCCTGTGAAAGAAATCTCTGCTGAAAAAGGTAGAGACCTTATTTCTGTAACTCAGTTTTAATTTTAGCAATCATTAAATAAAATTTCATGACTCGTATTATAAAATGCTTCATATATTATACATACTTGTTGCTTACTTGGTTTAAGTCAGTGGTGGCAAACCTATTGCACGCGTGCCTCAGCCAGATGTTTATTATCATCGAAAGCTCTAAAAGGTTCACCATCACTGGTTTAAGTAAATCATTTTTCTTGCAAAGAAACTAAGGAATTTGTTGCCACTTGTCCATTTTGTGTTTCTGTAACAGAATACCACAGGGTGAGTAATTTATATAGAAAAGAATTTATGTCTTGCAGTTCTAGTCTGGAAGTCCAGGATTGAAGGACTGCATCTGGCGAGAGCCTTGTTGGTCTGTCATAAATGACAGGGGCTTTACATGGCACTGAGGACTGGGGCCTGTGAGCTTGAGTCTCTTCTTACAGAGCCACTGATTCCGTCCCGGGGCCCTAAGTCTCATGTCGTCTGACCCTGATTGGCTTGCAGAGGCCTTCCCCCGGAGAGTGTCACCACATGGATTGGGGGATTAAGACTGTGATGCATGAACTTTTAGGGAACACATTCAAACTGTGTCGCCGCTTAAAGTATAGAATTTAATGGGTGTGTAGGTGACTTTAAGTATATGGTAGTGGGAATAGTCCTGTCTTCAAGATTATTGTCTTATACTTTACTAAATTAATTTAGGAATTTTCTCATTAATGACCATCACTGACATCAGTGTTATTATTATTTGACTATTTTATGTCAAAAATATCAAGGACTTTTTGAAGTCATTTACTTTTATCTTTTTCTTTCTTTTAAAAAAGAGAAATCTTCAGAAAATGATGTGCCTGCCATCACACTCATTAATACTCCCACGGTTACCCCTGCTACTACACCTCCTCTAGCAGCAGCTCTTACCCCAACTTTGTCAGAAATTTCCATTGATAAATTGAAGATATCGAGCCCAGAGCTTCCCACACCATGGGGGGATAGAGACCTGCCACTAGATGAAGAGAATCCTTACTGTCTTCAAGAAGATTTTCACCCAAGAGCAATGTGAGTGAAAACACACAGTTGTCCTCTGTATCTGAGGGGATTGAATCCAGGACCCCCCAACAAAATTCACACTTAAGTGCCTTACATAGAAAGGCTTAATGTTGACATGTAATCTGCATAATCCTCCCATATATTATAGATCATTTCTAAATTACTTTCAATACCTAATTCAATGTAAATCCTCTGTAAAGAGTTGTTATATTTTATTTTTTAGGGAATAATGATAAAAAAAGTACAAATGCACATTTTTTTTCTCCAATGTTTTCCATCTGTGGTTGGATGAATCTTGGATGTGGAAGCTGTGAATATGGAGGAGGGCCAACTACATTCGCTTTTAGGAACTGTATATTCCAACCTATCTGACACATAAAACACAAATGCTAGACAAAGTTATGTATGGCGGCACATGCCTGTAATCCCAGCACTTGGGAGGCTAAGGCAGGAGGATCGCCGTGAGTTTGAGGTCAGTCTGGGCTATGTAATGAGTTCAAGACCAGCCAGAACTACATGGTGAGACCCTGTCTCAAAAAAAAAAAGAAAAAAAAGAAAAAGAAATGACAAAGCTTTATAAACCACAATTATACTTTAGAAGGAAGTTTTATATATTTTAAGTTTATTAAAAATGTAATAAAATTTGTATCTTTCCTTCTTTTTAAAAAAAGGATTGAAACAGATAATAAAGACATTTATCAGATTGCTCCCCCCCATACCAGGGATTGAACTCAGGGCCTTGCGCTTACCAGGCAGGTGCAGCATCACTGAGCTACATCCCCAGCCCTGTCAGATTGTTAATAAAATAGAAAATGATTTTTGCCTAGTGTGGATCATCACTTGCTATGATCAGTTAACTTTTAAACTGCTATATATCCTATGTAGCTTTATTTTTTGGCTAGGAGAGCTTTCAAGATGGCTTATGATTAATGCATAAAAATTTTTTAGAAAAATGAATCTTGGAAATTATAGTAGTACAGATCATAGAAATACTTTCCTAAAGGAGATATAGTACCTTTGGATTTGTTTTTTATATAAAAATAGAGTCCTTCAATGACTTAGTAAATTCAGAATAATATCTTACCTTCTTAGTGTAATGTCTGTGGCTGAGGATGAAGAACCTGAGAGTATGAACTTCCTGCCTCCACCTGCTCCTACAGAACCAGTTCCTCCTACACCGTTCCCTGCAGGCACCAAGGCCCCTTCCTCCTCTCAGATGCCAAGCTCCAGCTCATCCACCCTGGAGAGCACTTTGAGTGTCACTGTCACTGACATGGAGAGTCTGGACAGGCCCATCTCTGAAGGGGAGATTGTGTTTAATTGCGGTGAAAGACTGGCTCCCAGGAGTGAGTTATCCTGTATTACTTGGTTTCTCCATTGGATTATGATAATTCCCTTAGGAATACTTTCCTATGTAAAGTGTTTTTATTTACTTTCTGAGATACAATATGCTATAGTAGAAAAAATAGGGGCTCGTGCAAGTTAGTTAGCTTTGCTAGGCTTTAATTTTGGAAAGTAGACCCTACCTCATAGCCCTGCCTCTAGGGCTGATATTCTTCATAGTTTGAGGAATACTCTTCCAGTCTTTTCTAAGTATGCATATATAGGCACCTAAATATATGGATGCACATTTACCTTTAAAAATGGAATCCTACTGTGCATATTTGTAGAACTTATCACACGGCACATGAGTCTACATCATTTTAAAAATGGCTGTATAGTCTCTGTAACCAGTGCCTTAGGAGAGGGCACCTAGATGGTTTTCAGTGTTTCCAGACTACACACAACTCTAGTGACCATCTTTGCACATGCATGTATCTTTGTGCACTTGCTTGACAACTCCATAGAATACTTGCCTAGATTGTAGGATTGCTGAGTCAGACTAGGCACTTATAAAATAATTACATTGCCAACATGCTTTCTGAAATATGAATTGGCTTTTAATTTTAATCAGTTTTATTTACATTAACAATATGTAGGAGTGCTGACTTCCCATTTTATAGCTACAGTGCTATTTGTATAGTTTTTAAAATTTTCTGACAGTACCAGGTGTTACACACGCCTGTAATCCCAGCACTTGGGAGGCTGAGGCAGGAGGATTGCCATGAATTTGAGGCCAGCCTGGGCTACATAGTGAGTTCAAGGCCAGCCTGAACTACAGAGCGAGACCCTGTCTCAAAAAAAAAAATTTCTGACAAGCTGCTAGGTGAAACAAAAGAAAGAATGAGACTGAGTACTTTGTGGATTATTTGTGTATGACCTGTGCCAGTATTAATCTTGCAGAAGATTAAATGTAATGTTCTGTGGCTTTCTGGTCAGCTTGCTTACTAAGTTTGTGTTTTCTTTTTTTCTAAATTCTTACATTTTAATTTCTAGTTTTAGGAGGTGGAGAGCTTTATCTGACAAACCTAAACGATAGCTTATCCAGCACTTTGCATGATGCCCTTGACATGGTAAGAGTGACTGACTCCAACATCGCAGAAAGACTATCTTGGTCAACTTGTTGCCACTGACCATATTTTTTCTCACTTATTTTAGTTATGGAGAAAAAAATTTACTAAAATATCCATGAAAGAATTTAGAGCTTCTTGTACATTTCCTTATGTAATCTTATCATAGTAGTGAGAATGAAATTGTTACTAATCTTTGATGCCCCAGTTGTTGAAAAGTAATTAGGTATTGAACTCCATCTCAGTGTAAAGTGCCACCTTGCTATGCTATCTCTGTAACGTGTGTGTGTGTTTAGTATTTTCATTTTTATTAATTTTTGTTTTTTTCTTCTGTCTTATGGATTGAACCCAGGGCCTTGCATGTATTAGGCCATATCCTCAGCCCTGTTTCTATAGTATTTTGAGCACAATTTTAGCCATTTTTAATCAACTCTCTAATAATTTATTTTTCCCTAATTATGATTATAATTCTTTGTGCTAATAAACATGTAAATTTATTGGCTTTAAAAAGAAAATTGAAATAGGATCCAGAGATACTAATCTTTCTTCCTAGTTATTATCTAGCACCATAGTTGAAAAAGATAAACATTTAAAAATGTCATATATTTATATAGACATACATAATATAAATGTCCTATAGAAATGAAGTAGAGTTTTCTTTTGAAACACTCAGGAATAGAAATCTTTACTTTTTATGTTTTCAAAACCCTAAGCAAGGAAAGGCAGTTGTACTTAACTATGGTCTGCAACAAACACTTAATTAAGCAGTGCTGTTATTGTTACTGTTTTTTTTTTTTTTGGTACCGAAGATCCAACTTGGGACCTTGCTCTTGTGAGGCAGGCAGCAGGACCACTGAGCTAAATCTCCAGCCCTGTTGCTATTTTTTTTTTTTTTTTTTTTGGGTACCGGGGATCAAACTCAGGTCCTTGCGCTTGTGCAGCAGGCAAGGAAACCACTGAGCTAAATCCCCGGCCCCAATTTGCATTTCTTGTTGCTATTTTTTAAAATGTTACTCACAAAGGAGTAAGAAGGTATTTCATGAAGTTTTTTGTTAAGATTTTATTTGAAGAGGATTTTTTTTTTTCCTTTCTCTTTGTAGTAATAGGCATTAAACTCAGGGCCTTTGCATTGGGCTACATCCCTAGCCCTTTTATATATATATGTGTGTATATATATATATATTTTTTTTGTATCAGGGATCAAACTTGGGACCTTGCACTTGCGAGGCAGGCGGCGGAACCACTGAGCTAAATCCCCAGCCCCCCAGCCCTTTTTTATTTTGTGACAGGGTCTTGTTACGTTGCTTACCAGCCTTGCTTGAACTTGCAGTCCTCCCACTTCCCACCTTAGCCTTCCAGAGTGCTGGGGTTAACAAGTATGCACCACCATGCCACTATGTCTGGCTGAAGAGGTAATTTTTTAAACAGTAATTATTTATTGAGTTCATTGTGAAGAGAGTGCAGTCATTTTTGTGAAATGATATAGGAAGAAGGTATAAATGAGATATTTTTATTTTCAGTGGAGCATTATATCAACACTTGGCTTAATATGCCATTATAGCATTTTTATCCATTCTTAGAATTTTGTCTGTTGGCAGTGCATATTTAAATTTCTTGAAAGAGCTAAACTGAACTAGGACGAAATTATAACCTTTTCTTTTCTACATGTGAAACTTTCTAATTTTGATATTTTTATTGTGCCTAAATCAGATATGCCACACTTTTATAATAGAAGCAAATACAAAAGTATAATCTGGAAATACCCAGAATAACTTGAAGAAATGTATCATTAGGCATTTATCTATATATAGCTAGGGGATATGTATTTATAATCTAGCAAATAACTTTATTTTATTAAAAACAAAGTAAATACTATTAATTTAAGGTCATTTCATCCTTGCTTTTACAAGGGAATCCAGTCTGTCTGACTGTGAGGGCCACACTGTCCCTTGTTTTTGAGACAGGTCTGTTTGGAGGCACATTGAAGCTTAGCCAGTGAAGACTTTCTGTACCCGCTCTCCAGCCAAGGCAGGTGTCAGCACAAAGGCAAAGGTACATTGCGGGCTGCACTTGCTGTCACATACTTCTGCAGTTTTCATTTTGGCCTGTGACCTAGTTTGCTGTCTTACCCCATGTGTATTCCCCTCATTGCTGTGCTGAGGGATTGCTTTGTGCATTGCTTAAACAGGAAACAGGAAACCGTGTAAGCCCAGCAATTGATGACAAAATATAAGACACTTGAGTCATTCAGTTGCCTGAGACAAAAGCAATGAATCTCCAGTTTAATGTGACCAAATTACTCTATAACGTTGTTTATATATGATGCAAATTTGGCATTTTTATTGTAGTCAAAATGATATAAGAACTAAATGAAAATAAGGAGTTCCTTTTCAGCTGGGTATTATGGTCTGTAATTCTAGCCCACTAGGAGGCTGAAGCAGGAAGACTATAAATTCAAGCTCAGCCTGGGCCATTTAGTGACTTAATGAGACCCTAACAAGCGCTGTTACTGTTTCTATTTTTTAAAATGTTAAGTCTCAAAAAAAAAAAAAAAAGGGCTGGGGATGTAGCTCAGTGCAAAGGCCTTAGATTCAGTCTCCAGTATCTCACACACACACAAAGGTTCACCTTCCTTCCAAAAAATGCTGATAACATTATTTGCTACTAAGTTTTTTATTAATCATAATTGAGAAAATTATAAATATTTGATAAAGCTTTTTGTGCATTAATTATCTTTATGTGTCTTTTAGGAAGATGATTCTCCCAGTGAAGGACAAGTGATTAGGATACCCCATAAAAAATTTCATGCAGATTCAATTCTTCCTCTTCTTGCTAGACAGAACCAGGAATTACTAGTTTCACAGCAGGCAGTCTGTTGCTCAGAGGTACTTTGTAACTTTAGTAGTATATTTTTGGTTAGATATAAATAGAGGAAAAATAGCCTTACTTTAAAATTTTAATTTTTATTCTTACATGTTTGCAATAACTAGTGACATTCATTGTGGGGAATTGGTACATATACATGACACATCTTCATTCTTTTTTTTTTTTGGTAGCAGGAATCAAACTTGGGACCTTGCGCTTGCAAGGCAGGCGGTGGCACCAATGAGCTAAATCCCCAGGCCTTCATTCTTTTTTAAGGCATGCTGGTGTTTCAGTTATTCAGAAGTCAATGTGATAGCAGTTTTATCCAGAAATCATAGAACTATAGAGTTTTCTTTCTTTCCTTTTTAAAATTTTCTTTTTTTGGTCCAAGTGTCTATTTATTTATTCGTTTTTATTAGTACATGTTTATAGTATGTAATATTTATATTCCTTTTGGGGAATTGATACATGTACATAATGTATCTCAACTTCTTTTTTAAATCCCCTTTCCTTTCCTTCCCTCCTCTGTAGAGTTTTATAATTGAAAAATGCTCTTGTTCTATGGTTCAAAAAACTGAAACACTTTAAAATAATTTGTGAGGATCATTCATTCATTCATCCTGCAACCTTTTTTATTGAGTATCTAGTATCTGGTACACACAGCCTTGGAAAATATACAAACATGAATGAGACACAACCCCTACCTTTAAGCAGTATTATAGACACTGTGAATAATTTCTGTTGGAAATACATCTGGTATTATTCTGCACATTGCCCAGAGTCTCCAACAGATGTATTGAATTGTAGCCAATATCTATCAATTTCAAGCATGTTGGGACAGTTGGTGTTTGGAAAGAAGAGATGGGTTAGGGGATTCAGAGGAGATAGAATGCATAGAGGAGAGTTAGGGCAAATGGTACAGAATTTTGAATGTTGAATGAAAATGTTTCAATTTTATTTTATAGTTGATAGACTCATATTGGTTGAAATTAAGCCCTTTTAAATGAGAAATGGGCTGGGGATGTAGCTCAGTGGTAGAGTGCTTGCCTAGCATGCATGAGGCCCTGGGTTCAATCCCCACCACTGAAGAAAAAAACAGAGACAGGGAGAGGTACACATGGGAGCTTTTAGATATTGGAATTCTAATTCAATTTTTGATTAATAAACATTAATTGTAATATTTCCAAGTCACAAAATATACTAGTGATTATGGCATATAATTTTTAATATGGAAAGAAAATAGGTCTTAATTTTTTTTAGTTTTTAGTTTATTTCATGTATATGATAAACATTTTTATACTTTGTTCTTTCTAAGAGAACCTTATGAAATATGATTAAAATAGTCTTCAGTCTGTGTACTTAGAAAAAATGTGATTATTCACATGGGGTAATCTTTATGCTATTTAAGATGTATTCTCAACAGTTATTATAAAGTTCACACTGACAGTTTCAGGCAATTTTAATTCATGAAAAATGAGAAATGTATTTTCTGTTATTCTGAGTTTAAGCTATATGAGCAATATATAATTTTTTTTTCCTTTGGTACCGGGGATTGAACTTGGGACCTTGCGCTTTTGAGGCAGGTAGTGGAACCACTGAGCTAAATTCCCGGCCCTACCAATATGTAATTTTAAATTATATTTTAAATTATAGTAGAATTTTTTTTCTTGCATATTCTATTCTTAATTAGTTGGAGGTTGAACAGATAATGGCTAACTTCACAAAAATAAGATACTAAAAGTAAAGCCCATAATTAAATGCCTTACTAACTAGCTTTTTTTTTCTTTGGTACTAGGGATCGAACTCAGGTCCTTGTGCTTGCGAGGCAGGTGGTGGAACCACTGAGCTAAATTCCCTGGCCCCTAACTAGCTTTTTAAACTTATCTTTTATGGTATATTTGGCATAATAAGCACTTTCTAAAATACTTTTCAAACAGTGGAACAGTATGGATCACGATATTAACAAGTCCCTCCTGTTTTGACTTGATTTTTTTCTTTTTTTCTTGTAGTACTGGGGTTTGAACCCCAGGCCTTGCCCATGTTAGGCAGGCACTCTACCACTGAGGTACATTCCCAGGCTGTTTGCCTTTAAAATTTTATTTATTTATTTATACCAGGGATCGAACTCAGGACCTTGCGCTTGTGAGGCAGGCGACAGAACCACTGAGCTAAATCCCCACCCCTATTTTTTTGTTTTTTGAGACAAGGTCTCGCTGTGTAGTCCAGGCTGGCTTGGAATTCATGATGTAGCTCAGGCTGGCCTCGAACTCATGGTGATTCTTCTGCTTAGCCTCCTAAATGCTGGGATTACAGGTGTGTGCCACCATGCCTGGCTCCTTTTTTCAAATTTTGAGAAAAGATATTGCTCAGTTGGCCAGGCTGGCCTTGAACTTGCAATCCACCTGCCTCAGCATCCCGAGCAACTGAGATTATAGGCATGTGCCACTACACCGGCTTGATTTGATTTTAATATAATGGGTTTAACAGTTGTTTCAACTTTTTGAAGGACTTGGAAAACAGTGTGGGTGAACTTAGTGAAGGACAGAGGCCCAGGCTGACAGCAGCAGCAGAGAACATCTTACTGGGACAGTCTCTCTATATGCAGCAGTGCGTTGCTAATGCAGAGTCTATGGGTCAGCAATGCCATCCTAAGCCATTGTTCCAGCAATTTGACACAGTTTCAGGTATGCACCAGTCACTTTGTATCCCATTTGAACTCTTCCTGTGCTGAAGGTGATGTATTCTGTTTTGTATTATAATCTATAGTAGTGTTCCTAATCTGACTTGAGAAAAGTGTAACTGCTTTTAGATGGAGTTTTGAAAAATTTCTTTGTTACAAAGAAATACTTTTTCTATGGTACATATAGCTGTGTTTTCCCAAATGTGATTCATGCGTCAGTGAGGGTACTGGCACCATTGTGATACATGAGATAGTTTTTGTAATACACATACATACATTTAAAAATATTTAATGCAGATGCGTTTTTGGTTTTTTGAGACAGAATCTCAGGCTGGCCTTGATTCCTGAGTGCTGAGACTGCAGGCCTCTACCTGGTATATAGAAGGATTTATTTTAATGTATACTACAAAATATAACTAGCCTATCAAAACTGACCTAACATCTTGTTTAGAACATGGTTCATTTAGATAATACTGTAGTAAAACACTTTACATTGTGTGATTTTCAGATTGCTGTGTTCAGCGCACTCAAGACTATTGTAGAACTTAACTTTCTTCTTTGACACTTTGGAAATTACCTGACACTAATATATATAGTTAATTCTTATTATCTGTGGTAGTTACAGTCTATAAAGTCATCATCAACATATTAGCAAATACTGAGCCATTGTTCCTCGGTGAAATAGAAGGTTAGGTTCTCACAGTGTCTGGTCATAACACTGTTGTTATGATCGGGTTATAACACTGTTGTCAGGTATGTTTTTATGATCATAACACTGTTGTCAGGTATGAAAACATAACTGGTTTAATGTATGTTTCTGTTTAAAGACGTCTTATTTCATGTATGGTGTTGATTCACTTCTGCATGCACAACCACCAGCACTGTAACCTGTGCCTGAATGCAGCTTCTGTAACACACCTGTCTTCTCCACAGGGCACATCACAGCCTTCTTACACTTAGGACTAGTACAGAGTACATTGGTGCTTTTAAAACACACACACACATACACACACACACAAACACACACACACACACACACACACACACGAACCTCCACAGAAATCTGGCCTTAGATACCTGTGAAAGTTGCTTGTTTACAGTGTGAGAGCTGAAATAAGAAGGCAAGAGTGTCTCCTTGTGTAGCCTCAGCTGGGGAAGTTCTTAGTTGGCAGTTCCAGTTCTCTGCTCCACAGGTCCACAAATGACTGCAGAAGTACTGCTGATGTTGATCTTGGACTTACAAATACATTTTAGTGAGTAGATAAATTTGCACATGCAAACATTTTGCAAATTAATAAAGCTTGATTATATTCTTATTCCTAGTTTTTCCATGCCTGTTGCTATATTTTTTGAGTGAAACCAAGCTTCCACAGGTGTACATAGTTGCCAGAAATTAGCAAAGGAATGCCTGGGGTTAGAAAACATTGGTGGATTTAAAGAATTAGTTTTATACTTAGTGAATACCTCATATCATTCAGAATTGGGAGAAATTCAAGGCTGAGTTTTCCATGGAAATAAATTATTTCTTGTTTTATGCATAGGGAGAAAGTATTAAATGTTTCAATTTTCAAATTAGTAGGTATCAAATGACATAAAATGTGACATTTATATCCATCCAACTGTGTAGGTTGCAGTTAAACAGAATTCACACTAGGTGGCTCTTGCAGATCACTTGTACTTGGGAAGAGCTAAATGTGTACTTGGTACATTAGTACAGAATAAAATCCAAGCGAATGTAGCCTATCCAATCTTTCCTTATATCTCTCGAGGTACCCAGCATATTACTTGTGGTATAGTGCAATTTTGGGTCTTATTTTTTCTCTTTTAAAATAATTTTTTGTACTAAAAAGAAAAAAATTAAAAGAAAAAACCATTTTTTGTTAGTATTGTACATGTTTGTGATGCATACTGAATACATTTATCATGGGTGTTGTACATATACTCAGGGCATCTTTTTTTTTTTTTTTTCTGTTTTACTCAGGGCATCTTAGGTCCTTTTTATTTCCACTTTCATTCCTCTCCCTCCCCTTTCCCACCATTCTTAGATCCCATCCTCATCTGCAAGAGGAGTGTTTTTTTAATAGTAGGTACATTGTATTTCTTTAATTTAATTGGAAAAAGTAATAAGTAACATAGCTTAACATAATATTGAACATATAAAACTGTAGCAGCTGACTGTGTTGTTGCACACCTGTAACCCCAGGATTTAGGAGGCTGAGCCAGAATCATCCCCACAGTTCAAGGCGAGCCTTGGCTGCATAGTGAGTTTAAGGGCAGCCTGCATTACAAAGCAAGACCCTGCATTAAAACAAAAAAGACAGTGTAGCTCAGAATTTAGGCTTTCAGAATTTCAGAAATAGGCTTTAATTCTAACTTTTGTATCTTTGATAAAAAAAAACTTCATAACCCTGAATTCAAATTTCTTCATCTGTCTAGTGGGGATATTAGTTTGTTGCTGTATAACAAATTACCACCAAATTTAGCAGGTGATGGCAACAAACCTTTATTATCTTACACACTTCTGAGAGGGATGAATCCATTGCTGGGTTGGCTGGGTGTTTCCCAGGGTTCTTCCTGATTGGCTGGGACTGAGGTCCTCTGAATGCTGAAAAGAAGTCCATATTGGCAGGGGGGCAGTTGTAGCTGGAGAGGGCATTTGGGAAGGACTTCATAGATGAGAGGAGTCCTACTTGGAGTGAGTCCTGAAAGACTGAGGAGAATATTCAGTGAGACAGGTGACAGAGTCAAGAAGTAGCAAGTACTTAGTCAGTTAGAGCTCAGGACACGGTTATCCTAAGGTGTGTTTGCAGCAGTGAGCAGAAACCAGGTCATGAAAAACCTTGCATGATGTATCAAGGAGTTTTTTATTTACTTAAGATGATAGGATCTATTTGTGCACAAAATAGAAAATAATGCCAATCTTACTTAATTCCCTTGAAAAATTCAGTCTTGAATTTCTGTCACTTCTGAATGTCATATGAGATTCATGAAGCCATTAAGAATTATGAGTAAAGGAGTAATATGATCATATAACTGTTTATTTACAAGGTAATTTGAAGTGTAATGGGAAGGATGCATTGGAGTGTTTAAGACTGGAGGCGGGGAGTCTGATCGGACAAGTATTAAAGTACGCCTGGTGAGACGTTATTCAGCAGTGAGGATGTATGAAAGGGAGATTTGAGAGACAATTAAGGAAATAGACAGGACATGGTTTGGATAGGAGAGGTACCAAAGAAAGGGAAACAAATGGCGAGGTTTCTGGCTAGAGTGATTGGATAGATGGTCATCCCTTTTACCATGAGATTAGGATCACAGAGGAAGGACAGACTAGGAGGACAGAAGATGAGTGGGGTTTATGTATACTGAGTTTGAAGTTCCTTTGGATGGTAATACAAGTGGGATAATTTAGTAGATGAGCCAGACAAAATACTACCACTGGTGCTGGTAATTCAGGTGAACTTGTCTTCTGAATTTATTCTTCTCTGAAAGTATGCTATGGTTGCTTTCCCAATGCAGTATGGTTCTAGATAAGTAAAATTGGGGATTTTAAATGATGATAAATTAAATTTGACTTTAATCAAGTAATACTTATCCCTCTTATAGCAGCTTACCTTGCATTATGTAGACAAGATACCAGCACTTAACGAGCACACTTTTTAGCAGTGACACAGCAAATTTAGCATTGATGTGACTGCTGTCATGGAATCTTTCACTGACCCCTAATTACTGTGTTAGAGACTTGTCATGTGCACCCTGTATAATCCTCTAATGTCACCTTCCTATAGTGATTTGCTCTTATAGTGATTTGTAACCTCATGCGAAGAAAGATATTTTATCTTGTTCACTGTTATATCCCTGTCATCTAGCAAGGTATGTAGTGTGTAGCACACAGTAACTACCTGTTAAATGATAGCTTGTTATATGATTTGAAAGCTATTATGCACATCCACTCCTGTTGCACATTTTGCCTTATCCCAAGTAACCCAGGTTAAAAATCACCTGCGACTTCACAGTTATTTTTCCTTTCATGTATAATTAATTATATGGATATACACAATATAGTGTACAATTGCCATTATTTTATAACTTGAGATGTGTCACTTGCCTACATTTTGTTTTTGCCCAGTAAACTTTATAGATTACTCCAGGTCAGTTGGTATTATTTAAATTCATTCTTTTATTTTTATTTTTAAACATTTTTGGTTTTGGGGCTGGGGATTTAGCTCAGTGGTTCTGGCGCCTGCCTCGCAAGCCCAAGGTCCTGCATTCAATCCCTGGTACCAAAAAAATTTTTTTTTTGTTTTTTGAGACAGGGTCTCACTATGTAGTTCAGGTTGGCCTTGAACTCACTATACACTGTGGAGCCCAGGCTGGCCTTGAACTCACAGTGATCCTCCTGCCTGGGCCTCCCAAGTGCTGGAATTACAGTTGTGGGCCACCACACTTGGCTTAAATTCATTCTTTTAAAATGATTATATAAAATCGTATGGTATGGATTTTTAGTAATTTATTTAGTTGGTTCTCTATTGATGAATATTTACTTTATTACCATTACCCCCCACCATTAACAATGCTAGGATAAATAAATAATCTGCACATATATATAATATATTTTGCAGTTTATACTTCATGGAACAGCTCCTCAGGTTTAATTACTGGCTCTAAGGGCAAGTGTATTTTTAATTGAAAACTAGATTATTTCAAGTAACTTTCTTAAACATTTAAATTTATTTGAGTCTTTTCCTTGCATTCCTGAACTTGTATTATCTTCTTTGGAAAACTTTTGTCATTTGAGACATACAAGTATATTTCTGACTATTAGTGAAATTTGCTCTATTTTTCCCCCATCTGTTAGGCTCTAAATTTTTGGTTACTTTTTGAGCTATGTCTATATTTTAAATGTTTTCTAAAATTGTTTGTATTGAAAATATCTTTTTCCAAGTTTGTGTTTTATTCATTGACATTGTTTATGTTTTTTGCTATGTGATCAACTTTTTTACATAGCTGTATATTTCTGTCTTTTATATAGGTTGAATATCGCTTAATAAAATGGTTGGGACCAGAAGTGTTTCAGATTTCAAATTAAAAAAAAAAATTTAGAATACTCGCATGTATATAGTGAGAGACCCAAGTCTAAACACACAATTCATTTATGTTTCAGACATATCTCATACATATACCAGACAGCAATTTTATGTTGTTTTCAGTGCATTTGTGTGTTGACTAAAACTTGTCACTTGACAGATGGGGACATTTCCACCTGTGGTGTCATTCAGGTGCTCAGAAAGTTTCAGGTTTTGGATCTCAGAGTTTTGGATTAGGAATGCTGAACCGTACTTTCTATGTTCTCATGACTTAGTTTCCCCTAATACAAGCTTTATACCTGTAACCTTCTACTTTTCTTGCAAGATTTAGTATATATTTATATTTATTCTATCTGGAATTTGTTTAATAAGTAGCATACACAGAAATCCAATTTGATTCTCTTCCAGATAAATAGCCAGTTATGTATCAGCCAATTTATATATTGAATTCTCATAGACATAGGGATATTTTTCTGGATTCTTTATTGTAAGTATTCAAGATTATTGATGATCTATTTTTTTTTTTGGTACCGGTGATCGAACTTGGGTCCTTGTGCTTGCGCGGGCAGGTGGCAGAACCACTGAGCTAAATCCCTGGCCCTATTGATGATCTAAAACATTTACTGACTTTAAGACACATTTTGTTATTTGCTGGGGAAAATATCCCATTTTTTTCATTGTCACACTTGGTAATTCTTAGACACTTTTTTCCATATAAACTCAAAATTATTTTATGCAATTAAAAATCACTCAAGTTGGAATTACACTAATTTATATATTGGAAGAATTATATTTGTTCATGTCTTATTCTAAAATTTTTCAGATTTGTTTAAAATTTTTCAATAATAATTTTTGCCTTTCAAAAAGATTTTGTTTTTCTTCATATGAATTCTATGCCTTTAAAAAATTATATTTAGTTATTTCAGTTTTGATTACTATAGATTCTCCCCATTTCTGCATGCTTATTGCTATCATAAATAGAAAAGCCAGTCATATTTGTATGTTTATCTAGTATCCAACTACAGAACCAAATTCTCTTATTAATTCTAATTGTTTCTTTCTAGAACCTATTGAAGTTTTTAGATATGTACCTTAGGATCAGCAAAGTGAGTTTTTTTTTCTTGGCATAGTGGGGATTGAATGTAGGGGGCAGGCTAGGCCAGTTCTCTATTGCTAAGTTACACCCCAGCCTTTTTTTTTTTGGAAAATTTTTAGATTAGGTCTCACTGAATTGACCAGGCTGGCCTCATACTTACCATGCTGTCTTGCTTAGCTTCTCAAGTAGCAAGGAGTACATGTGTGTGCCACTGCACCTGGCCAACAAAAAGACTTCTAGTGTCTTCTTCCCCTTCAACGTATGTGCTAATTCTTCTCTCTTGATTTGTTTGCCAGTCATTGGAAAATATTGAACAGGTGACAGAGGAATAGGAAAAGGCATATCAAAATATAAGGAAATAAATACAAGTCCTGGAGCATTAGTTACTCTAAATTATGGATATTAGCATTATTCAAATTAATTTTAGGGCCGGGGATTTAGCTCAGTGGTTCCACAGCCTGCTTCGCAAGCGCAAGGTCCCAAGTTCGATCCCCGGTACCAAAATAAATAAATACATACATACATACATACATGCATGCATTTTATGTAATGCTAGATAAATAAATGAAAATTAACCAGGTAGTATTTTTGATAAACTATTTTGTATAGATTGAATACTATAAAAGTAAAAATTAAAACTCAGTGGATATATTTCATTTTATACAAACTCCCTTTAAAGCCTAGATTAACATAAAAGAGAGTATGATTATTGCTATACCTAGAAATTGTCCATTGTGCGATTTCAATTAAGGTGATTGCCTTTAAATGTAAAATATCTGTGGTGTCTTTAAAATATTTTATGAAAACAATTTAGTTTACAAGTAGCTCAAGTCTATTTCTATTGGTTAAAATGAGACATATTGTATTCTGCTGTATTTAAAACGTGGCCATTAATTGGGAAATACAGAATTTCTTAGAAATATTTTAGGGAGAACATGAAATAGAGTTGGAAGTGGGAGTTGGAAGAAGCAAGTTTAAATTCCTTTATGCCTTGTACTATTCTTCTAATTTTTTCTTTTATTTTGCTCTGTGTGTGTGTGTGTGTGTGTGTGTGTGTGTGTTGGGGATCAAACCTAAGGCCTCACAAATGCTAGGTAAGTGCTCTACCACTGAGCCACAACCTCAGCACACTTTCTGATTTTTAAATACACTAGTCATTTAACTTCATGGAACTTCAGTTTTTTCAGTGGAAGACAGTTTATAATGCTATCTGACCTATCTTATAGAATGATTGTGAAGTTCAAACTAAATAAGATAATGTACATATAGGAAAGTGCTTGGAGTATAAAGTGCAATAAAAATATACAGTGATGTTCTTATTAGATACATAGAAATCTCTACTTTTTTATTGATTTGATTGAGATGCCATTTAAATGAGAAAAGGAGGAGCTTGACAGTTGAAGAAAAATCTACAGACTAGGCAGGGCTAAGCAATACCAGCATTTTCTAGCCAGGAAATGGCCCTTTTCTTTAAGATCACATTTCAGGGGCTGGGGATGTAGCTCAGTAGCACACAGCACCTGCCTGGCAAGTGCAATCAATACTAAAAAAAAAAAAAAAAAAAAATCACATTCCAGATAGAAAGTATTATATTGACTTATGACAGAAAAGGTAAGCAGGAGTACTGAGTTTGGTGTGTAGGAAGGGCATGGGGAGGGACTGCATGGAGGAATTTGCTGATGAACTTAGAGTACGTCATGGGGTTTTAACATACCATTTGCATTCTCTGTGAGCTTTGGTTTTAATTGCAACAAAGGCTTGATATCAGGTGTTTTTGATTACGGTACATTGTTACTTCTAGTTCAGCAAGTGAAGCTGAAGCTTTGTTCTTTTTCTAATCAGTTTATTTTAGTTTATGCTCACATATTCGGTAACAGGTGGTATTCATGAAGATCCCTGTGCTAGTCATGGCCCAATGAGTTTGGGGGAGTTGGAGTTGCAGCCACGTTCCAACGTCGTTCTTCCCACAGCACTTCTGAGAACACAAGGAAGTGATGTTTATTTACCAGAAGCAGCTGAAGATTTTTCTCAGGTACTAAATTTAGTGCATTTTCACTTTACTAAAATAAGAATTGTAATAGTATTGGCTTTTCAGTGATACAGTGTCCAAAGCATAGTCTTTGGAGTCAGCCTCAAATCATGCCTCTTTTCTTTACTGACTCAATTCTGAATATGAATCTTAGTTCAGCTGGTATCTAGCTGTGCCCTTGAACATATTCCTTAGCTCTTCTCAGCCTGAATTTAAAGATGAAAAATCTTCAAGTTAAATATTAAAAACAACATATATAAGATTTCTGACATCGAATTCAGTAGCTATTATCATTCATATCTCTATGCTGTATCTAGCTCAGTAATTTGCACATAGTAGGTACTCAGTAAATATTTATCACATTAAAATTTATAAAATGTGTTTCATGAAAACACAACAAATATCATAATGATGATGGCCCATGACCCATGAACTCTTGTGTACTGAAAAAGCAGGATAATTGTTTTCTAATATGTTAATTAAAAATGCCCATGTTATTAAATACAGTTTTGTGTTCATGTGCTGGCAAATGACTTCTCGTTATGGACTAATTTATTCAGTAAATATTCATTGCATGGATCATGCACTACATAGTGTTGAGGAAAACAAAAAATATGTAAGATGAAGATTATTTGTGGAACACACCATTATGTGTGGCTCAGTGTTACCAATGTGTGACCGAAAAAATTAGGAAAAGCTATTTAACAACAAATATCTGTTAATAACTTTTACATAAAAGAAACATTTTTATGACCATGAGTTAGCCAAAAGTTTCTTAGATGTCATGACAATTGCATCATCCATGAAAAAGACAATTTAACAGTTGATCATCAAAAATAAGAACTTCTCAAAACACATAGTATTAAATGAGTAAAGATGTAAGCTACAGACTGGGTGAAAGTATTTTCAAATCACATACAATACAGATAATCCTTGCATCCAGAATATACTGAATAAAGAACTCTCAGGGGCTGGGGATTTAGCTCAGTGGTTCTACCACCTGCCTCGCAAACGCAAGGTCCCGAGTTCGATCCCCGGTACCAAAAAAAAAAAGAACTCTCAGGGTCAGGCATGGTAGTGCACACCCGTAATCCTAGCACAGGGAAGGATGAGGCAGAAAGATTGCCATAATTTCTAGGCCAGCCTGGGCTGCATAGTGAGTTCAAGGGCAGCCTGAACTACATAGTGAGACCCTGTCTCAAAAAACCAAAAAAGGGAAAAAAGAACTCTCAGAACTGACTACTGAGAAAACAAACAGTCCATTTAGAAGATGAACAAAAAATGTGAACAAATACTTCATGTAAAGAAGATAGATGAGTGGCAAGTAAGCATCAGAAGATTCTCACCTGGGCATAGTGGTGCATGCCTGTAATTCCAGTGCTAAAAGTCTGAGACAGGAGATTGCTGTGAGTTCAAGACCCTAGCTCAAAAACAAAACAAAACAAAAACCAAAGAAAAGATTCTCAACATTATTAGTCACTAGGAAAATGAAAATGAAATCGCAGTTAGATACCACTCTGCACTAATTAGAAATCTAAAATTTGAAAGACTGTCATGCCAGCTATCTGTATTAGCAAGGATGTAGAACAGCTCAACTCTCAGCCACTGCCACTGGAAATATAGAATGATCCAATCACTTTGGAAACAGCTTAGCTATGTTTTAAAAATAAAACATACACCTAACACATTTACTCATGCATTTTACTTCTAGTTTACCAAGATAAATGAAAACATGTCTACACAATCATGTATATGAATATTAATAGCAACTTTGTATTTGTTGTAGCCCCAAACTGGAAACAACACAAATGTTCAGTTGGTGAATGGACTAATCATGTTATATTCTGTACAATGGAATACTGCTCAGCAATAAAAATGCATGAACTATTGATACATGGCAACAACATGGTTAATTCTTGCAAAAAGATTGAGTCAAAGAAGTTGGACTCCCCTCCCCCAAAGCACATGCTCTGTGATTCCATTTATATAAAATTCTAGACAATGTAAATTAATCTATAGTGACAGAAAGCATTTCAAATCTTTGATGGGGATAGTGGGAGGTGAAGTGGAGAGGGGAAGAGGGAATAAATCCAAAGGGGTGTGAGAAAACTTGAGATGGGTGGATGAGCCCATTATGTGACCCTGAGGGTGGTGATAGTTCCATATACATATATCAGAACTTAGCAACTGTACATTTTAAATACAGACAGTTCATTATCTTGTAACTTACACCTCAGTAAAGCTGTTTAAAAAGGAAGAGATTGCTTGCCTTCATTGTGGCCTGTGTTAAAATAACACTACAGGGCCGGGGATTTAGCTCAGTGGTTCCACCGCCTGCCTTGCAAGTGTAAGGACCCGAGTTCGAACCCCAGTGCCAAAAAAATAAACAATAAAATAAAACTACAAAGTGTTTTCAGAAAAGTGGACCTCAAAAAACAACTTTGTTGGATTTCTTTAGCTGAGATTTCTTGTTAAATTTTTTTGGGTACGGGGGATTGAACACGGGACCTTGTGGTTGCGAGGCAGGCGGTGGAACCACTGAACTGAATCCCCGGCCCTCTTGTTAATTTCTTTAGTAATGATAAATGATAACACCCTTATTTACAATGCTTACTTCACTAGAACTGAAGTTCTTTGTGTTTTAACTCATTCAATCCTTATGACAACCTAATGAAGTATTTGTTATTATTATCCCCATTTCATGAATAAGGAAATCAAAGTGTTAAATAACTTGCTCAAGGCCAAAGCTAGAAAATGCCTTAGCCAGTTTTGAACGCAGGCCATTTACTCCATAGTGCACAGTTCATGTTCACTGGAGTAAAGGAAGGGAACCAGTCAAGAAGCTCGGAGTCTCAGCAGTCAGAGCCAGAGACAGGCAAACAGATTGAGTGTCCTGTATCTGGAATGCTTGAGATCAGAAGTGTTTTGGATTTCAGGTTTTAAAAAAATATCTACATATACTTAATGAGATGCCTTGGAGATAGGACCCAAGTCTAAACACAAAGTTTTTGTTTCCTGTACACCTTATATGCATAGCCTAAAGGTAACTTATATATTATTTTTAATGTGCCTGTTTTTTTTATTGCCACTTATCACATGAGCTCAAGTAGAGAATTTTCCACTTGAGACATCTTATCTGTCAGTACTCAAAAAGTTAGGAATTTTGGAGCATTTCAGATTTTGCATTTTTGAAATACAGATGCTCAACTTGTGGTACCCATTTTAGAAATATACACTGAAATAGTATTCTCTTCAAGACAGAAACCTATTATGACTAATAACTCTACATTTGAAAACCAGAGTTGAGGGTCATTATTTGTTACCACTGCAAACCAAAGTTGCTCACTTCTACCTCTACATGAAGTACTGTGCCTGCAAGAGCGGGAGGACTTACATGTGTGTCCATGTAGACAGATGTTTCAGATATTCTGCTTGTATTTGTTGATAAGGGTCAAGAACTATGTATTTTTTTAAGTTCCTGTTAAAGTGTATCTGATGGCTGTTTCTAGAACTCATTCATAACAAAGCACATAAAATAAGAAAGGAAAGAAAGAAAATGACTACAATCATCACCTTTGTGATGTGGTTGTGAAGAAATTTGTGTCTTGTAAATTTTGGATGCAGTTAGTTACAGGCAAGGAAGAGAGGTAGAGCATGCGTTTCTTGAGTAGCAAATGGAGACTAACAATACCTCCTCACACGTGGGAGAATTAAATTATGTTACTATATATAAAAGCTCTGAAAATTGCAGTGCACTAGGTAAATTTTCATTGCAGAAGAGTTGTGTGGAAGAACTTACAGCAGAATTAAGTTTGTATCTATCATGTATATATAAATCTAGAATAGTTTGATATATAAGTAGCTCTGAATTCTCTAATAAAACTAAAAGAAATGACTTAAATATTTGAAACTTGTGTATATTATAAAAATATTTTAAAACGTTTTTCTTGCAATCATTTTGAAAAATTGTACTCCATTTTCCATTTATTGGTAGAACTGCTAATAACCTAATGACAAGGCAATTTGAAAGCAACCATATTATTAAAATTTTATATAATACAATGAACACCTGAATAATTTTACTTAATTTTTTTAACCTTAAAAAACAATAATATGCTTTTGTGTCTTGTATACTTTAGAACCAACAAAAGCAAGACCAGGATGTTAAGCAAGTTGAACACAAGCCAGTACAAAGTCATTTAATACGTGTACGAAATATATCTGATATTTTGCTTTCACAACAGCAACAAGGTAAGACGTTTTTCATAACAAATAATAATATAACAGGTTTTTTTTTTTGTTTTGGCTTTTGGTACTGGGGATTGAACTCAGGACCTTGCACTTGTGAGGCAGGTGGCAGCACCACTGAGCTAAATCCCTGGCCCTCAATAATATAACAGTTTTGGGCCGGGGATTTAGCTCAGTGGTGCCGCCGCCTGCCTTGCAAGCGCAAGGTCCCAAGTTCGATCTCTGATACCAGAAAAAAAAAAAGGAAAAAAAAAAAAAGAAAGAAAGTTCTATAACAGTTTGATACTTGTCCTAGTATGGAACAAATATATAATGATGAATGTTTTCTTCACTTTGTTTTTTTCATTAGTGCATATTAGTTTTTTTTTTTTTTTGGTACCGGAGATCGAACTCGGGTCCTTGTGCTTGCGAGGCAGGCGGCAGAACCACTGAGCTAAATCCCTGGCCCAAGTGCATATTAGTTATACAGATTAATAGGTTTTATTTTGAGATTCCTGCATGTACCTAACAAACTTCGATCATTTAAAAAAGAAAACCCATCACCTCCCTTGCCCCACGTTCCCCCCCTAGTTTCACATTTTGGGGGCTCATATCTATTTCCCCTATTGCCTGTCCTCCACTGTTGAAAACATTCCTACTGGTACCCTATTTGCAGTACATAATGGTTACATTTATTTGTGGAGTTGGTATATGTACATCATATGTCATAGTTCTTTTTTATATCCCCTTTCTCACCATAGCCCCTCCCTCCATCTTTTGGTCCATTTTTCTTTTGTAAAAGATCTATCTCTCTTTTTCCTATTACCTGTCTTTTATTTTCCTCTTTAATTTATTTATATTTTGGGTTTCTCATACAAGAGAAATCGTGCGATATTTAAAGCTGTGTGTCTGAATTATTTGAACATTATGGTCTCAAGGTGCATCCATTTTCTACAAATGACTCAAGTTTATCCTTCTTTATGGCAGAGTTATACCCCACTGTGTATAAGTACTACATTTTCTTTATTCATCTCTTGGTGGACATACAGACTGCTTGCAAGATTTAGCTATTATGAGTTGTGTAGCTATAAATATGAATATGTATATATCACTATAAATGATGTCTTTAACTCTAATACCTAGAAGGAGAATAGCTGGGTTGAATGGAATTTCTAGTTTTAATTTTCTGAGGAATCTCCGTACTGATTTCCATAGTGGTTGTGGTAGTTTACATTTCCACCAACAATGCAGAAGGATCCCTTTTTCCCCTGCAAGCTCTCCAGCATGTTATTATCTGATTTCTTAGTGGCAGCCATTCTTTCTGGAGTAACATGGAACTCAGTGTTGTATGTGCATTTCTCTAAGGCCAGTGATATTGAACATTTTTTCATGTATTACTGGCTATTTATATTTCTTCTGAGAAATTTCTTCTGAGAAATTCTTTTTAGTTCTTTATATATTTTAGGTATTAGTCCTCTCTCCCAGAAACGGCTGGCAAAATTTTTTTTCCTACTTGATAGGTTGTCTCTTCACTGTGTTGGTTGTTTCCTTTGCTTTGCAGATGCTTTTTAGTTTGATGTGATCCCATTTGTTGATTTTTTAATATTATTTCTTGTGAAGTTGGGTTGTTTAGAAAGTCCTTGCCCGCTATGCCTATGTCTTTTCTCTCACATTTTTGTTGATTTGGATGAAGAATCTTGTATTTTACCACTAAATACTATTTATAATTGATTTTTTAATTCTTAGTGTTTTTTCTTTAATGTTGCATTTTGGTTCTTGTATAAATTAAATGTCAGTCATTTTTTCTGTACCTAGCTCTGTATGTATATCATAACTATCTGTCTTCAGTTATACTATGCTTGAGGCAAGAATTGTGGCTGTTAAGAACTTTGTAAGAGCTGTTTAGTGTTGTGGAGTGATACTGACCAACAACTACAGCTTAAAAAACAAGTGATTCTCATATTACATGTTATTATATGAATGACATTTTCTATACTGTTACGTTATCAAAATTGTATAATTCTACAGTCAGCATTAAGGTATTTTGATAGTCTTTTTTTTTTTGGTACTGGGGATCGAATTTGGGACCTTATGCTTGTAAAACAGGCAGCAGAACCACTGAGCTAAATCCCCGAACCTTTTTTGATAGTCTTAATGCTTCTGCAAGGCTGTTAGATTTGTGCTTCATTTGCCTTCTTGCTTTCTAGTTCTTTACAATTCATATAATCTAAGCTCTGAAATTTGGCAGTAGAAATTAAGATCTCTTTTGTTTAAAAACTCCACAAATCAGGAAAGAATATTAAGAATATTTTGAGTAGTGAAGTGTTTTTGTTTTTTGGTTTTTTTTTTTTTTTGCTTTAATAGCTGATTTTTATTTAATTTTTAGATAATGGTTGAGTGATGCATATTTTATTGAGTACCATTATAATTGCAAATGTAACTGTGGACCTAAATGAAGAAAAAGTACTCAAGATGGTTATTGAGATTAGCCAGGGCTGGGTATAGGGCCGGGTGGAAAAGCATTGCTTAGCATGTGGCTTTAAGCCTTTGCATCTCTCTCACACTAAGATTATGCTGTGTTTTTAACTCTTACATTTTTTTTCCTGTTCTCTTACTATAATTTTTCAGAACTTTGTCCTCTTGGCTTTCTTTTTTTAACCTAAGCACAGTACGTTAATGTTAAATTATATTTTAGAATCCTGTACAGAGTTGCCTGTAAGTCTTCTCTTGGTGATTTAAAAATTAATCATGGTAAGGGCCAGGGATTTAGCTCAGTTGCACTGTGCCTGCCTTGTAAGCACAAGGTCCTGAGTTTGATCCCTGGTACCAGAAAAAAAACAAAAAAATCAATCATGGTAGTATATAGGTATGAGCAAATAAATGTTCCTAAGATAATATCAGGACTGACTCAGTATTTGTTTTTTGTTACCATCCATGGTCAGTTATAGTTCATTTATTTTGGTTTTAAAAATTCTTTTCTTAAAATTATAAGCAGTAAGATTTTAAGACTGAAAATCTCTTTAGAAAAGACACACATTGTTTTCAGTTTTATATACATGGAAATGGCCACAGGATGGCAATAGATGCATTTTTGTTCACATATAACAATGCTATTAAGTAATGTCCAGTTGACATTTAGTAAGTCAATAAAATTGTAAGAAAAACATAAGAAATCCAGGGTGTTAGCTACTAGGAGGAAGTTTTATTTAGGAAAGATTTAGAACATGTTTGAAATTTTTTGCATTTAATTTTATGTCTATCACAAAAGTTAGGAGAGCATACCTATTTCATGTGAGTAAAGCACATAAGAACCCAGTGAGTTGTAGAAAGATCATTTTAAACAGAAGCCAAGTCTTTCACTATATAGCTGATATACATCTTCATACTGAGTATTTCCTGAATCAATATGATTGCCTTGGCGAATGCAGTCAATTACGATGTTTTTTCCCATTAATTTTGTGGGTTTCAATATTTTTTTCTTTGATGAAATTCTGAGACCTTGCCAAACATTTCAGAGAACAGGAGAGTCAGAGTGCCAAAATAATCCTCTAGGGCTCTCGGGACTTTGGGTGAACCTTGAAGCAATTCAATCCTGTCTCATACACAGAGGCCTTAAAGATAAGGAAATTCACCCTATCACAGGGGATCACAACTCACATCTTTCCTGGAAGATACATGGTTCTCAGAATAAACTTGAACCCAAAATTATGGCTATTTCAGGGGGAAGTATCACATTTCACTTTGAAGTGTTCAGTATATGTTAGTATAGAGAAATCAAGCAGTTTACTAGCAACTCTGTCCCTGATCATCCTATAAAAACTGACGATATGGCAGGACATGGATTCCAGCACTGTGCTGCTGAGAAATCTGTAAAATTCTTGCATTTTCCTCTCCCTTTATGATTACTTTTAAATTTTAATGTAAAAGAGAGAAAATGAATTGATTGTTTTAAAAGATATTTTTGGAGTATCATTTGGTATTGAATTCATTGGGTATATATTTGACCACACAATTCCACTTGTCTGACTCTATGTACTGATTAATATGTCTAACAATTTTATAGTGAAAGCAACTTCAGAAAGTAATTTTCATTTCTATTTATTCCCTTTTACTGTGCAAGCTAACTTTTACAACATCTTTTGCTGTACAAGTTAACTTTCTTTATACAAATAAGAGCCCAATTTTAAACTAATTTATGTGTTCTAAACCCAGGAACAATTAGATTCTAAAAAGTGATGTGCTAAAATCGTTTTTTTTTTAAATTATTTTCCTTTGGGCTAGGGATTTAGCTCAGTGGTTCCGCCACCTGCCTCGCAAGTGCAAGGTCCCAAGTTTGATCCCTGGTACTCCCCCAAATTTTTTTTCCTTTAAAAATGTTAAGGCCATCACAATAAATAATAATTTAGAAAGTCAAACATACGACTTGCATACTACAATCAATGGGGAAAATTAGGTGGTATGTTTTATGGTTAAATGCTAGGACAGATTGAGTTGTCAGAGTTGATTGAAAATCACAGTATTTAGTTTTTTACTTGTATATTATTTATGTTGCTCAGAAAATATATCAAATTGCTTAAATTAATAGATATAGTTTCAATAATTTGTCAAGATCAGATTACATTTTTGTGGGAAATGTAGGATCACACATTTTTCTTCTTGTCCTGAATTTAATGCCCGCTCACCTTAGCACCTTTTCTGTCTCACACACTTTGATGTTGTGTGAGAATTAAGGATTTCAAAACTTGGCTATATTTAGAAGCTATTTTTGGCTACTTGTACAAGTAAAATCATTTTTGTTCCCTAGTAAAGTGGTAAGTTTTTGCCTTTGAATTTTGCCTTTGAGTATAACTAAATTACAGTAGCTATTAGAACTATAGTTGATCTTAGTAATTTTAAAGCCATAGGTAAAAGTTTTAAAAGTTACTATATTTTTTGTAATTTTAGAATATGATAATGATTTCAAAACCATGTGAGTAGGGGCCAGGGTTAGGGGTATAGTTTAGTGGTAGAAAGCTTGCCTAGCA